TATATATATAAGTAACATTATTTTTACGTTTTGTACGAAAAACTAGATTCAGAGTTACAACGTTTGATCGTCAATTCAATTGTTATAAAGGCCGATTTTGACACGCCTCACAGGCACCTGCAGTCGGTCGTTGTCCATACGAGTAACTGGCGAATGTTAGCGTGAGCACGCAGAGCGTGCTTACGATGTGTAAAATCGTATATGTATGCTTGTCTAATATCACTTTAATTGATTCGCTATTTCTTTATCCCTCCGTACTCATCTCTGATGAGGGCTCATATTAAAACGTTATTGACACATACCTGTCACTCCATAATGAAAAAATCTGTATGACTATTGTAAGGCTGACATTCCTTAACTCGATTCAACGTTCACATTGCCTTGAGGCCTTATAAACATGTTCCCGACGATCAATGTCTTCTGAGACCGTCAACGACTCACCATAGTTTTCAGCGTCTCGTTATCGGATATCCGTCGAACGGAAATTCTGCCCTGAGGTCTTTTCCCGCTGGGCGACACTTGCCGGCAAAAGAGGTATCATTTCTTTGAAGGAGTCTACACATTCGAGGCTATGGTGCACTTGAAGCTCGATGCGGTTTCAGAGCTATCTATCGTGTCATATTTCCTTATCAGCAATTAGCATATTTCATGTAATTTTATAGATTATTCATATATTTGTGTATGAAGATGCACTTATGGAGTAATGATAATGTGGCAAATCGTTCAAAAATATTTATAATTATTAACAGATTTACAATGATTTTACCGCTCTATTAAGATCAACTATCGCGAAGAATATAGAGAGATATATATATATTGATCCTCACAAAGCACTAAATTTGGACTGACTAACTAACTAGATTTGACCTTTGATGCACAGAACAAGATAGTGATAGAGATATGATGAAAGCTTATATATTAAGTGTGCATTATAATGATTCGAATAAAAATCCCTATTCAAATGCCCATACGATAATTGCGCTAAATTTACTGAGTAATCACAATCTACTAGGGGGCGCTGTTACGACGGTGGCGCGCAGGATAGCATAGTTTGAAAGTAAATCCGCACAGCGGCAGGACTGTCGCCATGAAAAGTATCAGAATTCTTATTATCGCTGCTATCATTTATATATATCTTCATCACATGATTTATGTCAATACAGTGTTATATCACATGAGCAAGGACGTAATTTCCAAAGTGCCCATCCGTGACTGACGATGGAAGCATGAAGTAATACTGATTATTCTCTCACTCCTGTCTTCGGGTGTCTTGCTTTTGTGCAGTAAAGAATTTTATGTATATATCAATTGATAGATATTGAAAAATTGGTCGAATACTAAAGGGTAATAGCGGTGGTTTATATAAATGCGCAGATAGAGATAATCCGTGTGTTCTAAGATCAATCAAAAACATTGTACAGATTCCGCTCTAAAATGTTACAGCAGAAATTGATTTGAAATAAGATCTTTACAACATATTATCTTCATTTACTGTCCTATCATAATTGTAAATTCTCAGTAACACTGTACCAGACGTTGAGTATGACATCACTGTTTATAGCAAGGGCGAAAAAGCTCTATGCGTAAATGTTTAATCTAAAAAAACAACCGATATAACCACATTTGGCGATCGTAATACTAGATTTTCAGCGGCCCAAAGACTTTTAGTGAGGTATCGGTGCTATGAGATAGTTTAGTTCGTGCAAAAGGACAAGCAAGGAGTGGCGTCGCTGTTCACTTTTAGTTCGTCTATTCACAGGTACATCCATACATTTAGAAATCACATTAACTGAATAGAAGGGCAAAAGGTTTTGAATTTGTTTGAAGTTTGAAGTTAACTTACCTAACGTGTAACTTAGCTATTGAATGTATCATAAAAAACGGTCTATCTGATACAACAGCGCTACTTTGTCATTTCGTTATCTCTTTTTGTGTTCCTTTTGACAATTTGCTATCTCCAGCCGTTACTTTGACCATTCGAAATATTGATTCAATTTATGACGGATTAATTTTTTTTCAGATACATTTTATCTAATACGTCGTATGATGTGACACACGGTTGCTTTGAAGACCAGCCGCTCGAGAAACACCTATGGGTAACGATTATGACAGCCGTCCCTTTCTTCTTGGTAAGCCAAATTTTCACCTCCTACTTTGTGATCGTATATAAGTATTGATGTCTTAGAATCAAACACATGCGTTATATCGATTTGTGGCAAAAGGTAAGTGTTTTATCTCTACTATGGTAATATCTTCTAAAAACGTACGATCTCGAAAATTCTGCTATGTGGTAATACTTGCAGTGAATGTTACAGCAGGAAAACACATTTCGAGATACCCGGCATACACATGAACATGCGGAGAAGCGGTGATTATTAATTGGATAGGTCTGTGCGTTATCTGAGAGAAGTCTGATACTTCCCCTACCATCAAGGTGCGCTTTCATAGAAAGACAGAGCGCGGCGATCCTTTCAGGATGTTGGCATGGATATTGACATGTCTGACCGTCTGTTCACCTGGACCCTCTGCTTCCAGCATTCATTTTGCGTTCTTATTAGATGTCTTTAGCTTATTTTGATGGCCAAATGTGATACCAGCATACCGAAAAGGGAAAGGCGTTTCGTATGGAACAACGCTTCTGCATAAATAATCAAAACAACAATCCAGCTGTCTCCCTGTCATCCGCTTTCTACTCCCTGATAAAGGTAGCGACAGTTTCAAAAGTAGCTTTGCTTCCGACAACACAAAAGACGCGTACTCACATAGAATATACATGAACACCCATTGTTTTTTTAGATCATAAGCCGTTTATATCAGTTTCTACCCATCAGTCTAAAGGAGCGTTTTATCAAAGGTCTCAGTCATTTCATATTGAAATAGTTAAAGATAGCCAAGTATTTTTATAACATCTTCTGTTAAAATTTGATCCCTGATCTTCGCACTCAGTGAGCCATCACGTGAGCCCACTATGCGCACAACAATTATCCTACAAGCCAAAAAAAAAAACACATCATCTATACGCCTCTAGTTTGTACGTAGATAGTTACTAGGCAGTAATGTACAACTCGACAGCTTTTGTGGATTGACTACTTCATTACATTTAATAGAAACCGACAAGAACAAAAGTTCTTTCGAAAATCATTTGCGTGTAAGTAAGACTAAGGTTATCATGAAATTCATTTTGTAAGCCTCAAGCTTATTTTTAACCAGGCTTGAGACCATTGTTGTTGGCTAGGACCTCTCAACCTCTCAAAGCTATAACCTCTCTTTCGTCTATCCGCTTTCATTGATTACCCGTACACTCTCCTAAGGCATTGTCAGCTTACGTGAAAAAAGGGACAGCAAAGGAAACGCCATCATTTCAACATCTTCGAAAAGCGAGATAAACAGTGGGAAGATGATAAGATAGCTTCTGACGTACCAAGGTGGCACCAATTGGACCAGCTCATCAAGCACTCTTAGTGATCATCGCTTCTGCTTCACGAAGTCACAGCTGGCCCGGCCAGTCGCGTATCTTTTTCTCCCACACTTTTTTTTTTGCCTCTCAACTGAACGGCATCGCTAGTCGATGTATACTGATACATACGCCTAAATATCGTGAAACAACAACCATTTCCTCGTGCTTTTCAGCGTATTGACTTTTATTTTTCGTCGTCGTCGTCGTCGTCGCTTTGGCTTGCGTCTGGCACTCTGTTATCTTGACTGTTGCCAGCGTCATAGTAGCCAAGGCATAGGCAAGAAAGCATTGATCGTATTCATTGGCCTGTTCACCTCAATCACTGTAGATGCGTAGAGGTGCAGAAGTAAACTAGCGTAGCGTCTGGCAGCCGGGAACTGTCGACGCAGATAAGTAAAGAAAAAGACGTCATTAACATATTTTTGATAATTTCACGCTGTTATGAATATATTATAAAGAGCTATTCTGTATATGACATTGCGACATTCTGTATATGGCCAGCGGTCGTGTTCATGGCAATACCTTAGGTACGAATGCGAGCAGTTAGAGGGTTTTCCGAATTGTGCTATTTCCTGAGCGAAAATGTAATGGTTTAAAGCTTCTAGTCGAGCGAGTAAAGTATCTAACATACAATATAAATATCGAATTGTGTTTATTATAAGATTACAGGCGCTTCGAATAAATGCCGGTGCAAAACTTCTCTAGAAAAAAAAAAACGCAACGCAATAAATTACTACGCTGGAGGCAAGTAATGTTTATACGCGAGTCTACTTCATTAATTTTCGTTTGTGCCCTGATGACGTAATCGACAAGTCGATAATCTACAGTTGTCCGTTTTGTCTAAGAGAATCGACTCCGCTTACATCCTTAGAGTCGATCTCGTAACAATAGGAAAGAGCCAGGGCATGATATGCCTTAATTAGTAACAATCTCGTCAATTAACACCACACCTCTTCGTCTCGGGTAAGATTTATCCAGGGAAATAGATGACCCCACATACAAACGCCAGTTTGCCTGATGTTCAGGAAAAAGCTTGCCACATCATCGCCTTTCAAATAAATACGAGGACGAGCGAAAAGGAACAGTAGATCAATATGTTCGGATGAGCAACGCACTGAGTGCTGATGGATCGATAAGATATAATGTCGTAGTGAAAGCGAGGCAAGAAAGAAGTTCGGTTTATAAGGGTTGGAGTCACTCAGCGCCGGCAGTTTTAACGAAGGTTCAGGAAAGAGTGCTCGTAGGTAACGCGTATGAAAGAACTGTCCATTAAAGGATATCTCTTGAGTAGATTTGGACCACTTCCATGGAAGTTACGCTAAACAATACTGGAAGACACCAGTATCTATATGGAAAGCAACTTGACCTGTTCAAAAAGCCCGCTCGTTGTATGATTCAGATAACAATATCCAGTTGCTAAGGAAAATATCTGGTCTCTGCGTGTTCAAGTCTGTCATAACCTAACCACTCAGAACTTCTTTGCTTCGGCCCTATATGGCTAGATTAGTAGCTGCAAATGGTATCCGGCTGTGGTAGCATTTCATGAATGAACGCGTGAATAAAACGGCGACTAATTGCTAGCTTTGGCGTGCTGTTCCCGCTCTTCGCCGGAGTGTGGCTTCAAACTTGATGCATAGCTATAAAGAAAAATTAAACTTATTTTTTATTTATTTAATATTAAAAGACATCTTCTCTCTTTTATAACATAACAAGAGTAGTTGTGGAGGCATTTCGTATAGATGGAATTGTTAACACTGGACCATTGTTGAAGCTTACCATAGGTGAAAGGGTTCAGGGTTGCTTACTAGAAGGAAGTTCTTTGGATAGTCAAGACCTCAACATCGAATAGATCAGTTCGATATACTAATATCCTACTATCAAAAAACAACACTCAATGATCTTTTTTTTTATCAAATCGCTTTAGCAAAAGTTTCTCTACGTAGCTAAGGAGCGAACTCCTTTAATTGACTATGTACCTAGCTATGGAATGTTCTGCGGAAACAGGGGATTTCGAGCTACGTAGCAACGGTTCGGTACATTGTGCTTTCCTCATTCTGGTTTTCAAACTCTCACCGAGAGATAATCAGAAGCTAAGCCGCATTCGACACGCTAGATTAACTTCCGTCGTGTAATAATTCAACGGAGCTCGCAGTAGTGTGACATCCAACCGGACTAATAGGTACGTAAGAATAACATTAACGTTATTTCCTCAGAAGAAGATCTCCTCATTCTACCGTATATAACTAATAATATAACAATACGTACACGGAAAGGAATAGCAGTAGTCGACAGAGTAAAGTTAAAACGCGTTATGGGTCGTTCGACACGACGTCGTTCGACTGCAATATGAACCGCAAGCGTTGCGACGTTTCGACGAATGATGCTGCAACGTTTGACGATTCTATCTAATGTTTTCCTTCCGAAATAGGTCAGGGCAAATTTGTTGGATAGTACTATGGCGTAAATGCTAGAAACCTAGCGATGTTGTACATCCGTATTTATCGGAGTTGCAGACCTAAAAACGATTTCATAAGTCGGATAAGATGGGTCAGAAACGTGGCTTTTACGTCACGGGCAAACTATAACAGTTCCGTGCCCTGCTTTTTTTTATAATTAACAAACTATTGCTGCTGTCATTGGGGACGCTAGAACACCGAGTGGTCGTTCCTATGGGTTTCTTATTTACGACTACGTCGTCGAATGTATATTCCGATTTTTAATAATAGCACTATAGCTGCACGTTCTATCTCCTACCGTGCATTGAATTAGACTCGTCTCTTAGATATGGAGATTACAGTACTTCTACTCATAGACAGCGCGAGTTATTTTTAAACACTTGAGGAACTTTTAGGTGACAACACAATCCAAGTTCAGTCGAGACTGTATTATTTAAAAGTAATCATAAAAAATCTTAGTCAACTACTAATTCACACTTATCCGTTTATAACATGCAACTGAACTCTAGAAAGTAAGTGTTCGTGCTCGAGACGTACGCTTGAACTCTTCCGCGACGCTCGTTCCTCGGTAGTCAGAGTGAGCTACCACAAATCGCCCGCAGCCAATAATAATACGTGTTGTATACACGGATAAAGCGGCCAAATGAAGGACCCGTGTCTCTCAGCTGTCCTGCGATTGGTCCCGTGGTGAAGACGAATGACGTAACCCAAGCACCGACCTCATTATGATTATTGGTAAAGAGTAGCGGCACTGCTACACCTATTCATACTATTTAGCTACTTTTTGACGACTTCATAAGCTTCCCAACCGACCAATGCCTTGCCTACTGTTTTCTACCAACAGTATTATCAATATTTGTACCTATAATACATAACGACTACGGCGATTGCTATGTATATGCATGTACTCGCGTTATTGGCGTAGCTGAAACGAAATAACGACGACTTAATTGAAGGGGAGCTATTGATCTACAGTGCAAAGGCACCGGACTTCTTAGTAAGAAAGCCTTTTGCTCAGAGGCCTACGAGGATAACCGCCATGGGCAATGAAAGGGAAGAGCTCGTGTAAAACACAATAGGAAGCAAATAGGAACGGATATGCATTGCGTCATACGCTTATGCCATAGCAAATTGACTAGAACGTTCTGCAATAGAAGAAGTGTCTTACAGCGACACTACCCCGGCATAAAGCTGGGTTAACTGTTAATTTTTGTAATGAAGAATAAAGACTAGTTAAGCGCCAGTCTGACCCATTACTCTTTCCTGCAATAATAACACTTTATCAGAAGCCACGCTTCACTGATAATCCACAAGTTTTTCGTCTAAATATTAGCTACTCAAGCAATTTTAGTGCAGTCACTTTTGCTCTAAAAAGATGTTTTTCGTATTTGCGAGACGCAAACTTAAACGAAGTTATTAAAAGTGCTTTTTTTAATAGTGACGATGATGACGATAACCACTGCATAATAAAATGAAAGTGTTGAGAGAAATATTGAACTTGAAGTATTCCGAAATGTGGCAAATAAGATCTGACATTTTAAGCTAAGCACGAAAAATTTATTTATTTATTACTTTACCAAAAGACGAAATTTATTAATTTTCATCACATCATACATTCAGCTGTGGATATATGAATGTTTAGTACTAGCAATAAAAATCTCACTCAATAGGTGCAATAAAAACGCCAGTCTCACTTAAATCAAAGTGTAGAGCTATCTATGAAGACTCGGGAAACAGGGATTTCAATACGTAATGCTAAAATTTAGATTACTTTCCAGGCACACCGTGTATTCCTTACTGTGCTTGGTTTTGTCAGCTGCTTTGTCCTTCCTTTCAAGACTATATCCATACAGAATAAGACATTTTAATATTTTCCCCCACACAGTGACGCTCGCAATATTTATCGTACATACAGTCGTAGGCATCACACAATAAGAGGCGATAACACCAACAAATTAGGGCAGTGCAACGTGACCTGAAGACAAAGAAGACATGCCGGTCTATCTTATACGATCAGACCTGCACGATACACCATCCGTTCATTAATTAACGATGTATAAAGAGACTAGTGCAGAGTTTGCTGCATAATTGTATGATGCGTTCATGTTTCTTTAGTTCCTTTTCTTTAACGACAGTGATCATCTGTTGTAGATGTTTCAAGAGAAAATAGACAGGTGAAAGGCCCAGGGGGAGGGGGTTCGCCTAATCCAAACAGGTGGATCGGTTGGCTTCCGCCGTTGAAAGCAGTCTCATGTAACTGCCACTTACCTAGATTTTTGATGCCTTACTTTGATGTGTCGAAATGATCTTTGAGTTTGTTTTTCGTGTCTTCCAGCGGCTGTTCTGAAGTGCAATCCTCAGCCCGACCTGGGCCTAACTATGTACACGTCAAGATCGTCGTAACAGAGAGACGACATTCAGGAACTATAGCTACCAATAAGAGAACTACATTATCGGCCGTTTTCCGACATTCGCCATCAAACAGAATCCTATTTTTAAAAATCGTTATTAAAGCTACCTATCAACTAATTATATTTTAGGCGCGCATTGTCACATTCACACACGAGAGTTCATAACACGACGGTAATCCTTTGAGTAGGGCCTGTAGCATAGCAACAGTTCCGGTAGAACATAATGTTATGTGTTAACTACATTTCGAAAGTTATGAAAAAAGGATTCTAAAAGTATTAAGTTGACATACCAGTTCTTGTCATTTTTATTTACTATTTTGCTTCGATGATGTCATATGTCGTTGAAAAACTTCATAGAGCTTGTTGTTACCGTCTATCGTTTAGGTTGCAATAGTCTATTTCTATCGACATTAAAGTAGATTGCCCTGATTCCTAGAATAAAATCCATGCCAATGAATATTGCCAATATAAACTACTACACTGAAGCTGATTAAGAGGTAAAGCACGACTTAAAACGTACCAAGGACCGAAATCGACCTGTTATCATGTATTTTTTATGTTAGGTATCTCAAATATTGTTTTTATCCTACTCTTTTGCGCGATTTCAAGACATTGGAGAGATAAAGAAGAAATTTCCAATGCAGCCCAGTAGTCTTAGTAGCTTTTACTTATACGGATAATAAACACGGATCTATGGACCGATAGGCATTTTGACCGACAACTGACAAAAGCATTGTCGTAGGCTGAACTCTATTGCCGATAACGGACCATTAGCAATTTTCTCTGATAAGTGGCACTTTGGCCATCAGAGAAAAAGTACGGAACTCAATAGTCTAAAGTTAGAAACAACTTATAGTAAATAAGTCGGAACCGATACCAACAACGTGGAATATCTGTTTCTTAAAATTTCCTCGTTAATATGAGTTCTAGTTTCTACAATCATCTTCGTTTCATAACTCAATTCTTCTATTAGAAGGTCACAAACGGTCTACAGACCTGACAAGCCATCGAACAGCTACCCCAATGCACATGAGATTAATTGACCATGTGTACATAATACAGCTCACTTCACTAGTTATATATATATATATATATTACTATTGCGTATCTTAAACTATATTTATATGCTGGCCCCTAAATATCAATATATAGAAACTTTTTGGATACCTGATACTTCTAGCATCAGTACAATCATTTTGTGGACCATTCGATGACAGATTTAATTGTTTTGGGGGTTCGGAACCCCAATAGTTATTCAGGCACATTTAAAGGTGCACAACAAAATGCTCTTTACAAAGTGCCCAACCTAGTCGATTTATAAGATCACAATAGTGCACTTATCCATGCTGTACAAGAATCTCATTTAAAAGTGGACCTCAGTGAAGCTTCGTACGAAAACATTACTGTTACCATTTTTTCTGCTATTTTACGATCTATCGTCATTTAAAAAGTGTTCGTTTATAGTTCTTCTGAAAATAATTAGATCGATGGAGAAATTTAAATTCCTAATGGTTGTGGTGGGCATCGAGACTTCTCTAGATGTGCGCCCACAAAATCCATAAACTTCATATCACTGGCACTCCTGGCCCATCGGCTTGTTTCGGTCATTGATCGATAGCATCCCATTGCTTCCGTCCCAGGTACATGAACTCGGATTTCATTTACACAAATAGAAAATGGAACAAAGTCGTATTTTATACACAGATATTGGCGCTATGCGA